AATCCAGGGGCACTCACGTGAAAAGACTTCCAAAATGAACATGTTGATCATTTATGTTAAAAACACCTGTGCATGGGATTGATCCCAGGAATGCAAGGTTGGTTTAACATCTAAGATGAATTAATGTATTACACCATATCAATAAAATAAAAAACAAAAATCACATGAGCCTCTCAACAGATGCAGAAAAGCATTTAACAAAATCCAATACCCGTTCACGATAAACAGACTCACAAGGAATAGAAGGCAACTTCTTCAACCAATAAAAAGTATCTATGAAAAACTCACAGCCAACATCATACTTAGTGGTGAAAGACTGAATGCTTTGCCCATAAGATCAGGAACAAGACAAGAACGTCTGCTCTCACCACTTCTATTCAACATTGTACTAGAGATTTTAGCCAGAGCAATTAGGCGAGAAAAAAATTGCATTAAAAGCATCCAGAATGAAAAAGAAAGGAGGAAAACTATCTCTATTCATAGATGACATGATTTGCATATATAAAATATACAAACTAAGGAATTCACTTAAAAATAATTAGAATTAATAGAAGAGCTCATCTAAGTTGTGGGATACAAAATTAAGATACAGAAAACAATTGTATGTCTAACATTTGCAATTAAGAATCTGAAAATACAATTTAAAAAACAATTCTGGCCAGGCACGGTGGCTCACGCCTGTAATTCCAGCACTTTGGGAGGCCAAGGCAGGCCTTGAGGTCAGGCATTGGAGACCATCCTGACCAACAGGATGAAACCCTGTCTCTACTAAAAGTACAAAATTAGCTGGACATTGCAGCACGTGCCTGTAATCCCAGCTACTTAGGAGGCTGAGGCAGGAGAATCGCTTGAACCCAGGAAGCAAAGGTTGCAGTGAGCCAAGATCGTGCCATTGCACTCCAGCCCGGGCAACAAGAGCAAAACTCCATCTCAAAAAAAGAAAAAAAAAAGAAAAAAATTTATTTATAATGGCATCAAAAAGAAAATACGTAGAAATGTACTTAACAAAAGAGGTATAAAACTTATGCTCTGAAAACTAAAACATTGTTGAAAGAAATTAAAGAAGACCTAAATAAATTGAAAGGCATTCCATGTTCATGGATTAGAAAACTTAACATTATTAAGATAACAATATCTCCCCAAATGATCTATTTCTATCAAATGCAATTTCTATCAAAATCCCAGCTGGGTTGTTTGCAGAAATTTACAGCCTGATTCTAAGATTCATATGAAATTCAACAGACCCAGAATAGCCAGAACAATCTTGAAAAGAACAACTTTGAAGGACTCATACTTCCCAATTTGAAGATTTAGTACACAGCTATAGCTATCAACACAGGCATAAAGCTAGACATGTAGATTAAGGGACTAGAATTGGAAATCCACAAATAAACCCCATATTTATGGTCAATTGATTTTTCACAAGGGTGCCAAGACCTTTGGGAACAGAATGGTCTTTTCAACAAATTGTGTTTGGAAGAATGAAAGTGCACATGCAAAAGAATGTGGTTGGACCCCTCCTTCACATCATATTCAAAATTGACTCAAAGTAGATCCAAAACTTAAATGTAACAGCAAAAGCTATAAAACCCTATAAGAAAACATTAGTATAAATCTCTGTGACCTTTAACTTGGCAATGGAATCTTGAATATGACATCAAAAGCATAAGCAAAAAGGAAAAGTAGATACATTAGACTTGATCGATATTAAAACGTTTGCACTTCAAATGACAGTATCAAGAAAGCAAAGAACACCGGGCGCGGTCGTTCACACCTGTAATCCCAGCATTTTGGGAGGCCAAGGCGGGCGAATCAAGAGGTCAAGATATCGAGACCATCTGGCCAAAGTGGTGAAACCCCCGTCTCTACTAAAAATACAAAAATTAGTTGGGTGTGGTGGTGCCTGCCTGTAGTCCCAGCTACTCTGGAGGCTAAGGCAGGAGAATTGCTTGAACCCGGTAGGCGGAGGTTGCAGTGAGCCGAGATCACACCACTGCACTCCATCCTGGCGACAGAGCGAGACTCCGTCTCAAAAAAAAAAAAAAAAAAAAGAAAGAAAAAAAACCAGCGGTGGCTCACACCCGTAATCCCCACACTTTGGGAGACCGAAGTGGGCAGGGCGGATCACCTGAGGTCAGGAATTCGAGACCAGCCTGGCCAACATGATGAAACCTTGTCTGTACTAAAAATGCAAAAATTAGCCGAGCGCGGTGGCTTGCACCTGTAATCCCAGCTGAGGCTGAGGCAAGAGAATCGCTTGAACCGGGGAGGCGGAGGTTGCAGTGAGGCAAGATCATGATATTGCACTCCAGCCTGGGCAACAGAGACTCCATCTCAGTAAATAAAATAAATAAAATAAATAAATAAATAAATAAATAAATAAATAGCAAAGAGAAAAAGAAAGGGAGAAAAGATTTCAAATCCTGTATCCAATGAGGGACTTTTTTATTTTTATTTTTTCTTCGAGATGGAGTCTCTCTCTGTCTCTCAGGCTGGCATAACTATGAGCCAGAAATAAACCAGCTCTACAATGACGCAAGCCGAGTTTCCAATAAATTCATCCCTGATTGGATCCAGGTGAATGCGCCTATCAGCACTGCAAAGCGTCAAAGTCTCCTTACAAGCTTTCCTGGGCAATGTCAATCAAAAACAACCAAGATACAAAGGCGCAAGAATTGACTGGAAAACGAGAGAAATAAACAAGCAAACAAAAACAATAAACCCAGATCCATAGAAGAGGCAGAAAGAGGAACTGCTTCCGGGGCAGGTGAATTTGACTGTTTGGAACACAGCCTCATGCCATGCCTGCAATTTCTGCACTGAGACTATCCTGTCGGGTTTGACATGTGACTCCCTGGAGAATGTAAAAACTTCAGTGCCTCACCCAACCCTACCCCACCACCCCCAAAGCCTCGAATGCACTTGCTCGGGAATTGGTTCCCACATGCAAATATGGGTAGAACCCCAGCGCTAAGCAACCAACCCCAGCCCAGGCAGCTGGCTTCAGCCCACACCCGGCCGTCTGCAGTGAGGGCAGAGTCCCCTGCGATCTTTCCCCGGTCTGGAGTTTCCACGCAGTCATCGGACTGACGGTCAAGCTGACCGGAGTCAGTCCCGCACCCCTCCCCATGGGGTCCCCTTGGCCTTGCCGGCCCAGGTCTTGCATTTGTGAAACGGCTGCAACCACTGCGCGGCTGCAGGGAGACCGGCAATCTTCAGGCCTTTGCGAGGCTCTGCTAAGCACGGCGACCGTCGGGGATCGGCACCCGCATGGGCTCCCCCAAGTGGCAGCTTGGAGCCAGGAAGACTAGTGCAAGGAACCCATGCCACAGAAGGCGGCGCAGGAGAGCGCGTCCACTGCCCGCCTTGAGGAAGCAGCCTCGGGGCGAACACCGGCTGCACGCTGGACTCTCAGGGCTGCTTCCCCGCCCGCCCACCTCCCACGGCCAGCCAGCACCATGACAACCGCGGTCGCCTAGGTCCCCGCGCCGCCCACGCCCTCAGTGCCTGAGACCCGAGTAGGTGGAGTCCAAAGCCTGCCCGCACCTGTTGGGGGACCCGGCTACAGCGGCGTCTCGGGCTCCCCCTCACATCCACATGGTATCGGGAAGCCGGGTGAGGGCACTGAGCGCAAAAGCGCAGGAGCAAAAGTTGAAAGAGCTTGGACGCTCGGTTGAGGCACCGCTGGGATTCGAACCCAGGATCTCCTGTTTACTAGACAGGCGCTTTAACCAACTAAGCCACGGCGCCGCCCGTGCAAACAGCTCGAGAAATGAGTCCTCATTACTATTTACCATGTGGGCCGCGCGCATGCGCACAAGTTCGCCATGTTGTGGCGCACGCGTAGTGTGGCTCCCGATTCACACCGGCATCTGAGACAGACCGGAAGCTCGGGCTTCAAGGAGCGGGCAGCCTGGGAAGGCGAAGCTTACTGGTCACAATGTCTTTTCCAATGTGGAGCCAGGACGCTTCGCCTTTGGGGAACGCTGGCGCAGGGCTTGGGCCTCGGCAGGGTGGCGGAGCCCCTACCCACTCCGGAGAACCCCCGGCCCCGCCAGCGCGGCCGGGCTGCTGGCTCCCCTGGCGTCAGGTCGGGGCGCACACCCGCCTCGGTCCGACGGTGACCCCGATGAGCTTCGGACCGTTCCGCCCGGGGACCTCAGCCTGAGAAGGCCGAGGCCCTGCCAGCTGCCGGAGCCATAACTTCACTTGAGTCGCTTCTTCCGCGGATCCTGAGCTGGGCAAAAGTTGAGGAGTCAGGAAGGCTCAGAGGAGGGATCATGGGCTTCGGAGTTCCCAGGCTGCTGGCGTGGGGCACCAACACCTTATATGGAGGGGTTTCTGCTGCCAGAGCAGGCAAGGCCCTCCCCTCCCTGGTTTCTCACTTGCGCCTTCTGGGTGTCCTCACGCAACTACACCAGCCACTGGTTTCCGCACTTTCCAGAGGGCCTGTGGCAACTACGAAGCCAAACACTGTCAACCCATCCACCCAGCATCCCCGCAGCATGCACAGAAAGGTTCACCCAGCATGGTGTGCAATAGGAACCTAAGCTCCTATCTCAGCCTATTTATGGACTGATGCACGCTGTGCAAAATGCCGTGGCAGCAGGAAGAGGGCTGCACATAGGCATGGGCGTTCTGGAAATTGAGACATCTAGAGGAGAAAGTATGTGACATCCCGTGATGGCAATGCCACCGCCACCCCCTTGCCTAATCAAACGGTCCTCTGCGCCGGGCAGGTGGCCATCTGGGAGCATTAGCCAGGGAGGCACCCATTGTGTCTTGCCATCTCGCCCACAGAGGGGGCCCCACACCTTGTCATACTCGTTTGACAAACTGTCCAGAACTGCTGGTGCCAGCCCCCACGGGTCGTCTTACAGGCAACTCCAGACTCCACAATGTGAGTCTAATATATGTTTCAAGTATCAAACAGGATGAGCACCAAGGCATAAAGCTTAGAAATAGCAAGACCGCTTTTCTGCACACGCACACTTGTTTTCCAAAGGAATTAGATTTATTCTGCATGAAAACGGAAAGTCAAGTGTTCACTCCCCAAGCTGAAAGCTGAAGAGGTGGCACTGTGTTGAGAGCCCAGTCAGGGCTTGTGCCCTGCCCCAGTCTGACAGGCCTACTGAGCGTGGAAGGGGCCCAAGAGAAAGTCCCTGCAGAGCCCCAAAACCTACATGCTAGGAATCATGTTTTGGAGTCACTCAAAGGGGCCTGTAGCTGTCAATCATCCTAGCTTCCCCCGGTCGGCGGCGGTGAGTTCTCCCTTTCCAAAGATGATGATGATGAAGTCTCTGCTGGCAAGCCCCTTATATCTATCCGGCAGAACACGCATTGGGTGAACACTTCAGAAGAGGTGTCACTCTTGAAGATGGAGAAAGGCCTGTCACATCTTTCGCACTGACATGGGATATTTTAAAAGAGCAGAAAGGAGGTGCTGGTCAGAGGGGATCCAGGCAAGCCGTTAGAATTCTCCTGCCTGATCCAGCTACTTTGAGCTGGGGCAAGGCAAGGGCTCCCCTCTCTGGAATCTCTTTTTTGTTTGTGTTTTTTTGTTTTTTGTTTTGAGACAGAGTCTCACTCTGTTGCCCAGGCTGGAGTGCAGTGGTGCCATCTTGGCTCACTGCAACCTCTGCCTCCCAGGTTCAAGCGCTTTTCCTGCCTCAGCCACCCGAGTAGCTGGGATTACAGTCATGCACCACCACATCCAGCTAATTTTTGTATTTTTAGTAGAGATGGGGTTTCTCCATGTTGGCCAGGCTGGTCTCGAACTCCTGGCCTCAACTGACCCACCTCGGCTGCCCAAAGTGCTGGGATTACAGGCGTGAGCCACCGGGCGCAGCGGAAATTGCAGAGAGAGAATGAGCACAGGCTTCTTCCCCACCAATGGCTAAGTAGGTCCTGCCAGCTCATGTCTCCTGCCATGGGGGCCCTGAGGACATGCGTGGCAAGCCCCTTGACAGTCGGGAGGATGGGGGTGGGTGTCCAGCCCCATCCATTGTTCTGTGCAGAGTAAAATTGTGGGACTAAGAGGATTACTCCCTGACATCCTGAGAACACCCAACTTTTACAGAACCATGAGACTAATGTAGGCAAGATTTCTGAACAAAGCAGCGGTGTGAAGTAGATTGACGCAGGTGCTAGGCGCCCTCCTGCGTCCATGAGCCTGTTTCTGGCCAAAGCTCACAGAGAACACTGGAAACAAATGGCACAACTCACCCACCACGTCTGCTTCCCACTAACAAGCAAGAATCCCATGGGATGGGGTCTCCCAGGCTAAGGGCAGAGGCCCCTCAGGGATTCCCACCATGCATGGTCCCCTGGAGAAGAGCCTGCAAGGTGGCACGCCCCTGCTGTGGCTTTCCCAGCCCCTAGGCTTTGCTGTCTTGCCCGCTCCAGGACACTGAGGCCTGCTGGAGAGAGGGGTAAACCCCGCCTGGGGCAGGCCTCGGGGCAGCCTGGCCTCTGAGGCTTCTCATGTTGATTGATTCAGAGCAAGTCAAATGCAGCAGGTTCATCCTTGCTTCAGCTTCAGGTAGGCCTCTTTCTTTTCCTTTTTTTGCAAGAAATAAATTAGATCCCAGTTCGGGAGCGGATAGCTCACGCCTGTAGTCCCAGCACTTTGGGAGGCTGAGGTGGGTGGATCACTTGAGCTCAGGAGTTCGAGACCAGCCTGGCCAACATGGTGAAACCCTGTCTCCAATAAAAACACAAAACAATTAGCCGGGCGTAGTGGCGGGCGCCTGTAGTCCCAGCTACTCAGGAGGCTGAGTCAGGAGAATCACTTGAACCTGGGAGGCGGAGGTTGCGGTGAGACGAGATCGCGCAACTGCACTCCAGCCTGGGTGACAGAGCTAGACTCCCTCTCGAAAAAGAAATAGAGAAAAAGAAAAAAGAAATTTGATCCTTTACCTACCTTATCCTACATTCCTACATCCCACGGTCCAACCCCAGAACAGCAGGGCTGACAGAGGAGGTGGCTCCCAGGCCCTGCCCTAGGTGGCCGGTGAAAGACAAGAGCCATCACTGCTCTGTAGCAAGTCAGCTTTCAGGGTTTAATGGCCAACACAGCCACAGGGACAAGGCCCATTTGAGTCCCACCCCTCATACTCCTGCCTTGCTGTGCGGCTCCCAAATTAGCCATTCCCAGAAGCCGTGGCTCCCAGTCAAACCTGAAAGGAGGTCAAGTCTAGATGGCTCCAGGATTCCCAGGGAAGGACTCAAGTGGGCCCAGCCCACACTCCAAGGCAGCAGCCAGGTGTGTGCACAGAGAGGCTGCAGCGGGGAGTTGCCTCCACTGCCCAGGGACAGCCTCTGTGGCCAGCCTGGGTTGGGCCTGGTGAAGCAGAAAATATGCTGGCCCAACCACCAAGCTCTTGCACTAGAGAAGCGCGGGCACCTGAGTCTCTTGCATGGGAAGTGGGGCACTGGGGACCTACCCAGGGTAGGAGGCTCACGCAGTGCCCAGCTGTGTACCTGGCCATTCCTCCACTGACCAGTGCTCCTGCGGGCTTCATCCCCTCCACGCCCCCTCACTCCATCCCTCCGACACACCGCTGGCTCCTGCCTCTCAGGCTCTGCACTCTGCACTGGCTGTTCTCTTTGCTGGGAAGTTCTTTCCTTTTTTTTTTTTTTTTTTTTTTTTTTGAGACAGAGTCTCGCTCTGTCGCCCAGGCTGGAGTGCAGTGGCGAAATCTCGACTCACTGCAACTTCCACCTCCCAGTCCCAGGTTCAAGGGATTATCCTGCCTTAGCCTTCCGAGTAGCTGAAATGACAGGCCTGCATCACTACGCCTGACTAATTTGTTTGTATTTTTAGTAGAGATGGGGCTTCACCATGTTGTCCAGGCTAGTCTTAAACTCCTACCTCAGGTAATCTGCCTGCTTCAGCCCCCCAAAATGTTGGGATTACAGGCGTGAGCCACTGCATCCAGCTGGAAGTTCTTTCCTTTAAATATCTACATGGCTCACCCCCTCACCACCTTCAAGTCGACACAGCGGTCACCTCTCAATGAGACTTATCCTGACCACCCTTTAAAATCTGGCAACCTCCAGCACTCCTATTCCCGTTTCTTGTGTATTTTTCTGTCAATTACTTATCACCATGTGACTTACTACACATTTTTCTTGTGTCTTTCCTCTTTGTGTCCTCTCTTTTAGAATTTAAGCTCCCCCGGGGCAAAAATGTCAGTCCGTTTGTTCACGGTTGCATCTCCAAGTGCCCAAAGTTCATTTAAATAATAAATTAATTTATAGAGGGAACTAATGAAAGCTTTCCCTAGGCTTAATTTTACCCAATACCAACCTGTTTCACCTTTAAGCCCATAGCCTTTTTGTACTTGATTACCAAAGGAATTTCGTCAATTTCTTCAATATTCCACAGTCTCATGGTCCTATCCTAAAACAAATAGCAAACCAACGGTCACCAAACAGGCTGTGGTACATCCATACAAAGGAATATCATTCAACAATCCAAAGACACGGGCTGTCAAGGCACCAAAAGACAGAGGAGCCTTCAATGCACATTGTTAAGCCACAGAAGCCAACCTAAAGAGGCTACAGAGTATAATTCCAACCACATGACATTCTGGAAAAGGCAAAACTAAAGTAAATAGATCAGTGGTTGCCCAGGATTATGGGAAAGAGGAGGAGGGATGAATAGTAAAACTATTCTGTATGGCCAGGCGCGGTGGCTCATGCTTGTAATCCCAGCACTTTGAGAGGCCAAGGTGGGTGAGGTAGAAGTTCAAGACCAGCCTGAGCAATAATGGTGAAACCCCATCTCTACTAAAAAATACAAAAATAGCTGGGTATGGTGGCGTACACCTGTGGTCCCAGCTACTTGGGAGGCCGAGACAGGAGAATTGCTTGAACCCAGGAGGCAGAGGTTGCAGTGAGACAAGATCGTGCCACTGCACTCAAGCCTGGGTGATAGAGCGAGACTCTGTCTCAAAAAAAAAAAAACAAAAAACTATTCTGTATGACACTGTATTGGTGGATATATGATATACATTTGGCAAAACCCGTAGAACTATACAACACAAAGCATGAAACGATGTAAACCATGATCTTTAGTTAATAAATAATAGTTCCCGAAAGGAATGCAGTCCTGTTGATACCTGGATTTTAGCCCAGCGAGAGCTTGTCAGACTTCTGTCTTACAGAACTGTAAGATATTAAATTTGTGTTGTTTAATGTTTAAACAGTACAGTCTAGTAACTTATTATAGCAGCAATAAAAAAACGGATACACTGAGTATGTTACATTTCTTGATTCAGCAGTTGCAACTAAATGTCCTATGGGAAAACAAAGGGGACATTTTTGTAATAGATGTGTTGACTTTTTTTTGGTAATAGATGTGTTGGCTTCATGCTGAGTACAGCGGTCAGATCTTACCAATAAGCATACTTCCTACAGTATAGCAAGTGATTTGCCAAATCATGGCAACAAAAAATGTCCTCCTTGCTCTTAGCTACTTTAATTTGAAAGTTAGTTTCAAGCTGGGCATGGCGGCTTACACCTGTAATCCCAGCACTTTGAGAGGCAGATGCGGGAGGATGGCTTCAGCCCAGGAATTCAAGACCAGCCTGGGCAATATAGCGAGACCTTGTGTCTGCAGAATAAAAAAAAATTTTTTTGTTAGGCTGGGCATGGTGGCTCACACCTGCAATCCCAGCACTTTTGGAGGCCAAGGCATGCGGATCACCTGAGGTCAGGAGTTTCAGAGTAGCCTGGCCAACATGGCGAAACCCTGTCTTTACTAAAAATACAAAAATGAGCCAGGTGTGGTGCTGCATGCCCATAATCCCAGCTACTCAGGAGGCTGAGGCAGGAGAATCGCTTGAACCTGGGAGGCGGAGGTTGCAGTGAGCCGAGATTGCACCATTGCACTCCAGCCTGGGTGACAGAGCGAGCTCTGTCTCAAAAATAATAATAATAATAATTTTTTTTAATTAGCTGGGTGTGGTGGTGCACACCTGTAGTCCCAGCTACTCGGAAGGCTGAGGCAAGAGGATTACCTGAGCCCAGGAGTTTGAAGCTGCAGTGAGCTATGATCGCGCCACTGCACTCCAGCCTGAGTGACATGGTGAGACCCTGTCTCTAAAAAAATTAAGTTGGAGTTTTTAATCTTCTGGATTTCTATGAAGATTTTAATAAAACTGCAGAAAACCAAAGCATGTTGGTCCTCATCTAAATGCAAACTAGACTTTGCTCGTCTATCTCCATATTCAGCAGACAGTGCCATTGTAAATTTTGGCAAATTCCATTCCTTCTGTAAATTTCTTACCAAATGGCAAATTCCATTCCTTCTGTAAATTCTTACCAAATTTCTTACCAATGCCAAATGGCCTGCACACTTTGTACACAAAACTCCTAAAAGGGGAGTGTGGTTTTCTTACCTATAATGTTGGGTCTTTCATAATAAAAGTTTAGGGCCACTTTTCACCTTCCTCAAAATGTACAGAAGCACTTAATGAGATTTTTTTTTTTTCTTTCTATAAGACAGGGTTTTATTCTGTCACCCAGGCTGGAGTGCAGTGGTGTGCTCTCAGCTCACTACAACCTCCGCCTCCCAGGCTCCAGTGATTCTCCTGCCTTGGCCTCCTGAATAGCTGGGACTACAGGCACACACCACCATATCCCACTAATTTTTTGTATTTTTAGTAGAGACGGGGTTTTGGCATGTTACTCAGGCTGGTCTCAAACTCCTGGGCTCAGGCAATCTGCCCACCTCAGCCTCCCAAATTGCTGGCATTACAGGCATGAATCAACATGCCCAACCAAGATTTTCAATTAGCGAAATGGAAAGAGATATCTTCTTTAAACATGTGCCTACAAGATGGCTATTATCATTTCTGAGCATAGAAAAGATGTTAAAATGGGCTGGGCACAGTGGCTCATGCCTGTAATCCCAGCACATTGGGAGGCCAAGGCGGGTGAGTCACTTGAGGCCAGGAGTTTGAGACCAGCCTGGACAACAAGGCCAAACCCCGTCTCCACTAAAAATACAAAAAATTAGCCAGGCATGGTGGCGGGCACCTATAATCCCAGCTACTGGGGAGGCTAAGGAAGGAGGATTACCTTAGCCTGGGAGGCTGAGGCTGCAGTGAGCTGAGATTGTGCCACTGCACTCCAGTCTGGGCAACATAGCAAGACCCTGTCTCTTTAAAACATAAATAAATGGGCCAGACGCAGTGGCTCACGCCTGTAATCCCAGCAATTTTGGGAGGCTGAGGTGGGTGGATCACCAGAGGACAGGAGTTCGAGACTAGCCTGACCAACATGGAGAAACCCCATCTCTACTAAAAATACAAAATCAGCTGGGCGTGGTGGCGCATGCCTGTGATCCCAGCTACTCAGGAGGCTGAGGCAGGAGAATCGCTTGAACCCAGGAGGCAGAGGTTGCGGTGAGCCAAGATTGCACCATTGCACTCCAGCTTGGGCAACAAGAGAGAAACTCCGTCTCAAAAATAAAATAAAATAAATAAATAAATAATGCACATTTTAGATAGATATAGCCTATACCATGAGTTTATAGTGCAAAGGACTTCATTGACAAATACCTGATCTTTTAAAGCAAGCTTATAGATTTAGTACATTGAACATTTTTGGAGTGCTGGGAAATAAAGCCTGCAAATCAAAGAACCTGTTGTTGCCAATAAGTAAAATCTTTTTTTTTTTTTTTTTTGAGACTGGGTCTCACTCTGTCACCCAGGCTAGAGTGCCATGACTTGATCTTGGCTCACTGCAACCTCCCCTTCCCGAGTTCAAGCGATTCTCCTGCCTCAGCCTCCCAAGTAGCTGGGACTACAGTCACGTGCCACCAAGCCTGGCTAATTTTTGTATTTTTAGTACAGACGGGGTTTCACCATGTTGGCTAGGCCGGTCTCGAACTCCTGACCCCAGGTGATCCACCTGCCTCGGCCTCCCAAAGTGCTGAGATTACAGGCGTGAGCCACCACCCCCGGCCAGTAAGTGAAATGTTAAGTATCCATGCTCAAATGATTTTGCTGAGGGGATATTTAGCTTGAAGTTATCACATTGGGCTGACACCAGGAATCAGTATAATGTGGGCTTGATAAGAATGGAGCTGCGAATTAAAGCGAGTTTTACATTTGACAGTGTTTAGTTTTATTAAAACTACAGAAACTAAAAGGATGTCCTGAAGGTTGCAAGCAGTTCAGAGAAGTATTATTTGCCATGGAAACAGAAAAGCAAAGATATCCTACTGTATTAAGGGACAGAAAGAAACATGTCATTGTTGGTTTTTTTAACTTGTGATAAAATATATACAACATAATATCATTTTAACAATTTGTAAGTATACAATTAAGTCACATTAAATACTTTCACAATCTCCTATCACCATAACCAGTCTCTATACCCAAAACTTTTTCATCATCCCCAACAAAAACTCCATTACCCATTAAATAATTACTTTCTCCCCACCCTCCAGCCCCTGGCAACCACCATTCTACCTTCTGTCTCTGAATTTGGCCATGCTGGATTCCTCGTCTAAGAAGAATCATTACCGTATTTGCCCTTTTGTGACTGACTTATTTCACTTAGCATGTCATCAAGATTCATCCGTGATGTAGCATGTCAGAATTTCCCCCTTTTTATGGCTGAATTCCCTTGTATGGATAGACCACACTTTATGTATCCATTCATCCAACACCTAGGTCGCTTCTACCTTTTAGCTATTATAAATAATGCTACTGTGAACATTGGCATATAAGTATCAGTAAGGCCCTGCCTTCAGTTCTTTTGAATATAAACCCAAAAGTGGGCAGGGCATAGTGGCTCACACCTATAATCCCAGCACTTTGGGAGGCCGAGGCGGGTGGATCACCCGAGGTCAGGAGTTTGCAACCAGCCTGGCCAACATGGTGAAACCCTGTCTCTACTAAAAACCCAAAAAACCTGGGCATAGTGGCACACACCTGTAATCCCAGCTACTCAGGAGTCTGAGGCAGGTGAATCACTTGAACCCAGGAGGTGTAGGTTGCAGTAAGTGGACATCATGCCATTGCACTCTAGCCTGGGCGACAAGAGTGAAACTCTATCTCAAACAAACAAACCAACCAACAAAACACCCAAAAGTGGAGTTGCTGGATCATATGGTAGTTGCATTTAAGCTTTTGCGGAACTGCCAAACCATTTCCCACAGCAGCTGCACTATTTTACATTCCCATCAGTCATGCACAAGCGTTCCAGTTGCTCCATATCCTTTGCCAACATTCATTATTTTCTGAGTTTTTTTTTATTATAGACCTCCTGGTAGATGTGAAGTGGTACCTTACAGTGCTTTTGATGTGCATTTCCCTAATGACTAATGATGTTGAGCATCTTGTCATATGCTTCTTGGCCATTTGTATATCTTCTTTGGAGAAATGTCTATTCGAGTCTTTTGCCTATCCTTGAATTGGGTTGTTTTTTGTTGTTGAGTTTTCAGAGTTCTTTATGTATTCTGCATATTAATCCCTTATCAGATACATGATGTGCAACTATTTTCTCCCATTCTCTAAGCTATCTTTTCACTTTCTTGATATTATCCTTTGATGCACAAAAGTTCTTTTTTTTTTTTTTTTTTTTTTGAGACGGAGTCTGGCTCTGTCGCCCAGGCTGGAGTGCAGTGGCCGGATCTCAGCTCACTGCAAGCTCCGCCTCCCGGGTTTACGCCATTCTCCTGCCTCAGCCTCCGGAGTAGCTGGGACTACAGGCGCCCGCCACCTCGCCCGGCTAGTTTTTTGTATTTTTAGTAGAGACGGGGTTTCACCGTGTTCACCAGGATGGTCTCGATCTCCTGACCTCGTGATCCGCCCGTCTCGGCCTCCCAAAGTGCTGGGATTACAGGCTTGAGCCACCGCGCCCGGCCAAAAGTTCTTAATTTTGACAAAGGTTAGGTTGTCTATTTTTGCTCTCATTGCCTATACTTTTGTTATCATGTCCATGAAATCACTGCCAAATTCAATGTCATGAAGATTTTCTCTACTGTTTTCTTCTGAGGGTTTTACAGTTTAGCTCTCAAGTTAAGGTGTTTGATCCTGAGTTAATTTTTCTATACAGTATTAGGTAAGGGTGCAGTTTCATCCTTTGCATGTAAATTTCCAATTTTCCCAGAAGCATTTGTTGAAAAGACTGTCCCTTCTCCATTGAATGGTCTCAGCACCCTTGTCAAAAATCCCTTATTTCTGGGCTTTCTATTCTAAGCCATCAGTCTATATGTCCCTATGCCAGAACCATACTGTTTTAATTACTATAGACTTGTAGTAACTTCAAAGTCAGGAAGTGTGAGTCCTCCAATTTGCTTATTCTCCTTCTCCCTCTTACTCTTCTCCTTCCCCTTCTCCTTCTCCTTCTTCAGGATTGTTTTGGCTGTTTGGGGCCCCTTGCAATTTCATATGAAAATGCTGTTGGAATTTTGATAGGGATTATGCAGAATCTGTAGATTACTTTGAGTAGTACTGACATCTTAATGATGAGTCTTCCTGTCCATGAATATAGGATGTTTTTCCATTCATCCAGGTCTTCTTTAATTTCTTTAAGCAATATTTTATAGTATTCATTGTGCCAGTCTCTCACCACCTTTGTTAGATTTATTCGTAAGTATTGTTTTAGATGCCATTGTAAATGGAATTGCTTTTCCTTTTCAGATTGTTCATTGCTGGTGTATAGAAACACAACTTTTTTTGTGTGTTGATTTTGTACCCTGAAACTTTGTTGAATTCATTTATTAGCTTTAGTAGCTTTCTTGTGAATTCTTTGGGATTTTCTATCTTTATGATCATGCCACCTACGAATAGAAATAATTTTGGGGCCAGGCATGGTTGCTCATGCCTGTAATCCCAGCACTTTGGGAGGCAGAGGCGGGCGGATCATGGGGTCAGGAGTTCAAGGCCAGCCTTGCCAATATGGTGAAACCCCGTCTCTACTAAAAATGCAAAAAATTAGCCTGGCATAGTGGCACATGCCTGTAATCCCAGCTACTCAGGAGGCTGAGGCAGGAGAATTGCTTGAACCCAGAAGATGGAGGTTGCAATGAGCCGAGATCATGCCACTGCACGCCAGCCTAGGCAACAGAGCAAGACTCCATCTCAAAAAAAAAAAAAAAAGAAAGAAAGAAATCATTTTGGCTGGGCATAGTGGCTCACACCTGTAATCCCAGCACTTTGAGAGGCCAAGGCCAGCAGATCACTTGAAGTCAGGAGTTCAAGGCCAGCCTGGACAACATGGTGAAATCCCATTTCTACCAGAAGAATTGCTTGAATCCAGGAGATGGAGGTTGCAGTGAGCTGAGATTGTGCCACTGCACTCTAGCCTGGGTGACAGAATGAGACCCTGGGAAGAAAGAAAGAAAGAAGGAAGGAAGGAAGGAAGGAAGGAAGGAAGGAAGGAAGGAAGGAAGGAAGGGAGGGAGGGAAAGAAAGAAAGAGAGAGAGAAAGAAAAAAGAAAGAAAGAAAAGAAAGAAAGAAAGAAAGAAAGAAAGAAAGAAAGAAAGAAAGAAA